CGATCCGTCCTTCTATCGGTCTATCTACATCTGCTACGACTAATGAGTTTTATCGAGTCCGCGGGCGACCGCGCTCTCTCTCTCTCTCGCTTGCGGCGTCCGCCACCTACGAGGAGGAGGAGGAGAGCGGGAGCGAGCCGACTCCAAAATTAAGTATTTGACAGGCGGAAGTGTCCGCTACGTCGGAATGACAATACGATTAACGCGACGCGGCGGCCCGTCTTCGAGGAGAGACTCTCCCCGGACTCGTTCGTCCACTGAGAGATCAACTCCCGCGATCAAAATACAGTCTTGATTCGATTCCTTCGCGGATACCCTCGCGATATCGCGCTTCTGCCCCCCTCTTCTTTATTTATCCTTTGCTTCTCTATTTCTCCCCTTCTCCTGCCACCTTTCTCTCTCTCTCTCTCTCTTTCTCTCTCCCAGAAATCGTCTGGCGCAAGGAGCCGAATTCCCACCGCCTAAGCCTCAGCCCGAGGCTTCAAGGCGCGAGAAAGCAAGAAAACAACAATCGTCTCACTTACTGTAAGGCGGCCGCTCCGTCTCCCAGATAAGGGTGCCGCGATGAAAGTAGACGCGGCACCTCTTCTTCTTCACGACGAAGGTGTTGAGCAGCACGGCCTTGGAGGAGTGATCGTTCTCCTGCATCATCCTGCCGCAATTGCCGCTGCTCGGGGATAACGCGCGTTCCAGTGGGTGTCGCGACAACGCTTCAGCTGGGACGCCGCGACGTCATCTCGACGATCGATCTGCACCGTGACCAAGACGGCGACGACCTCGAGGATCACGGCGGCGATGACGGGGGCGGTGACGACGAGGATCGGTCGGCCGGGACGGCACTGGTCGTGGAAATCGAGGTGAAGGTGCCTCTCACGTTCGGACGATCGTGCAGGAAACCACTTCACGCGACACACCGACCCGGTCGGACGCGCGAGCCAGACTGAGCGCGTCCCGTCGCGACGCGATCGACGAGGTCCGCCGCCGCGGCGAGAGAGCGAACGCGTCGCGCGCCTGCCGCGTCCTGGCCCTCCGCGTTCATGTTGTCGTATCCGCGAAAAGCCGAATTATTTACCGGTGAGCAGCCAAGGAAGAGAGAAAGAGGGGAGGGAGGGAGGTAGGCGCGATGGATGGGCGCGAAAAAACGCGATGGGACGATAACAACGGAATGACGACGAATGGGACACTATGGATGACGATAAAATGCACAGCGACGGAATGACGCGAAGTTAACGACGGGACGATAACAAGGAAAAACAGGTAACGAGAGATAACGATAAAACGGCGAAAAGGACAGTGTTAATTACTTCCGTCGAGGAAGCGCTCTGTTCTCTCCGCGTTATATGCCGGCGGTTCCGATTTTCTCGATATCTGTCTTCATCTTTCGTAACAGCGAATCTTACGCGGGGGAAAAAATCTGTGGTTGCATTAGCCGGAAAGGGAATAACCAGATGTGTTCTGGTTGCAGGAAACAGAATTTCGGGTTCTTATAATGAAATATGTGGTGCTTGTAAAAAAAATATTCTGTTTCCTTCAATTAAAATATATCTGGTTGTTCCCTTTCTAGTTGACGTAACGAAATTTTTCCTCCGTCTAACCACATTAATGTTTAGCGTTACGAATACAACGTCGGAGTTCACAATTCCAAAACGTCAGCCGAGACTTTCAGAGTCTGGAACAGGTTAATGGCGGTGTGTTGAATATCTCGTTCACTAACGGTACAAAATTACCTGGAAATGCACTCCTCGTGTGTATTATGAGCGAAATCGTTTGTAATTTGCGCGATGTTGCGCAACATATTGGCAAATTAGATTTCCTCGGGGTAGCTAATAATCGAAGCGATCGTGAAGCTTACCGCACAATCCAGCACTTGAAATTTTCAACATGGCATCGTAATACGCTCTTTCTACGCATTATGAATGAAATCGTTTGTAATCTGCGCGACGTTGCATAATATTAGTAACTTAGACTTCCTCAGACTGTACTGATAATTAAAACGACCGTGAAGCTTACCACGCAAGTCACCGTTTTAAATTTTGCCATTTTAATTTTACAACTTTAAATTCGCAACATCCTAAGCAGAACGGATGCTCTAAAAAATATCTTAGAGATGTCTAAAACGCATTCTTTTCTTTTTAGATATTTTACAGACGTCTTTAAGAGATCTTTCAGAAATTTCTTCTACCTCATCATTTCTAGCAGCATTTGCACTCCGAACTATTCAAATGTCCACCTGCAATCCCGTGTATCGATTATCGAGCGATCCATTCGCTCGGTAAGCAGGTACCGTTATCATCGACGTGATTAGTCACAGTCGGTAATGAAGGATTCATCTACGCGGACGATCGTATGCACATTCAAGTGTTCTCATTTCACGCTCGCGTTGCAGGCTTAATTATCAATCGGCGCGGATCCATTCATTACCATCTTTTGTTCACCCGAGCTGCACGCGAGCAGTTGTGTTGCAGCATTGAACTTAACCTGTCCGGCAAGAGGTATTGAGCATTGTTCTCGTTGAAATGCGGCAATGAATAACACGCGCGTAGCTCACATTAGAGATACAAATAGTGCCTATTACGTACGCAGATATTGCTTTCAATAATAACCTTGCGGCCAATCAATCTCCCATAGCGGTGCAAATATATCTACAAATGCTGATTATCACATGTTTATCCCGCCTGTTGTAAAGTATGTTGGTTTCGCGCCAAGAAAAGGAAATCGTCGCGGCGGATTTGAGAAATTCGGAGAAGATGGTAGAGTAGTCCCATTTCTCAGGTGGAACAGAAAATAATAACGACGTCAAAATAACGACGTCAAGATAACGAGAACATATTATAATTATTATAAGACTCATTCTTTTATCATTTTGACGTTATTTTCGTTTTCTATTCTATCCGGGACAACAAGAAAGCATGACAAACTCGACTCGTTTCCGTATGGTTTCTCCGATTGATCGTAAACCTTGACGACTAGACATGCTGAGGAAGAGACTCACGGTCACTTGTGTCTCGCGTAACTTTAGCCGAGATACAACATTTCGCCTGCAGTAGCATTTCACCGGTGCGTCGGCGTGACCAGGACGCGGCGCAAATATTTGATCGGCAAACACAATGCGACTTCGTCGCGAAAGATGACCTGTCGAAAATAAGCAAAACGCAAGTTACGCGTGATTCATCGAGTTCGCGGGGAAATGAGCCTCAAATTGCGCGTTAAAAAGTGATCAGGTACCTCTCGACCGCGTTCGCTCGTCGACGACGACGACGACAGTGTGGGAACTCGTAGAGAGCGGACCGTTGGCGCGATTTGCGCGGGAAACGCCGTGAAGGGAGGCGAGTTTCGCGATCAGTCGGGCAGCATTCCAAGACGATCGTCGGCCGCGTATATTTCGTGCGCTCGGCGACATTTTCGGGCGACTGCTCCTCGAAACGAAGCGTTTAGTCGGAGCAACTTCTCTACGATTTATATTGTCATTCTCGGACTTGAGATTTGCTTCTTCGCGGTAATAACGAGATTCCTTCGACGCATTCCATTATCTCCTCGCGATAAGGACAAATTAGGATGAATAAACCTGATAAACTTTGCGTCTTATAAAACAAAATCTTTATCACCGATATAGATACATCGATCGTATCGTGGATGCAGAATAATTGAAGCGATCGATAAATGAGGAAAATCGAATGAGTTGATATATACACATATATATATACACATATATATATACACATATATATATATATATGTATATATACATGACGTATAAAATTCAGAGATATTTATTTGTAGAGAAATCGCGACGTAGCGAGAGAGCAAGTCGACTGAGAGCCACTGGCGACTCGTCGACGCGCTGATTGGCGCATCGCGATAACGCGGTGCGTTTAAGTCAAATGACAGAGAGACTAACACGGGAAACGACCAATGGACGGCGCGGATTGCCTCGCGACTCGGCACGTCTCGACCAAGTCGTGCGACTTCGGCCGACATCATCGGCCGTCGTGACACATGCACGCATTCACGCACACAGGGCGCAATTCGCACACCCATCGACTCTCACTCTCTCTCTCTCTCTTCGTTGTCATTGAGCCCGGCCCGCCGCCGTGCGCCACTGGTGCGAAGTAAAAGCGACCCAAGCGAGGAGTTCATGATCAATGCGGATTAAATATGAATGTTCTCGCATCCGCATCGCCGAGAACACGCCGCGTGTGCTGTTCGCGCGAACGCATTGATTTATGGGTGAAACGTAGGCGGAAGAACGACGCTCGCGGATTTCGCAGCGACTGCAGGTCGTCTCGAGCGAGCGTATATAAATATCATTGCTCAATATCGTTCGCCGACACGCACGGCTGTCGATGATCTCGCAATGACCGAATCAATTTTCATGATCTGATCGACTTGCTTCGTCCCAATCCGATAAACGAAAGCTACGTTACTTCGGCGTCTTGGTCTCCTGGCCCGATACACAAAGTCCGTGGATCATCTCCTTCAGTTGATTTCCGACACGAACGTTTCATCGAAACATGATGAAAGACGTTCTATCCTTTCCTCTGTTTGTTCTTCCTTCTGCAAATCTTCGCGGCGGTTCAATTCATACGTCTGTTCCTTTTAGCTGACCGACTGCGGCAGTTTAAGAAATTTACACACACACACACACACACATTGAAGCGTACGATTCTCACGCTTCAGTGTGCGTAGATTTCTTGAACTAGTGCAGCCGGTTAAGTTAAAAAGAACAGACCAATTGGTAGACTCATGGGCGCATAGTTGTCGAAAAATGTTGGGCCGTCCCGTTGAACTTGGCCGGAGTCAAGCGTATAGTCCGGCGACAAAGGCGCAACTCAGGCCGGTGGTCGGCGCACGAGACTCTACGCTCCTGAGGAGCGGCTCGCTGGCGCTGCGAGGTGCGCGTGCGCGCGTTCGAAAGGGCCAATCGGCGCGGCCGTCTGCCACGGTGATGGCATCGTGGGGGCTCGCTCGCGCCCTCGCAAGTTGCTCCGTCCGATATCGCCGGTAGGACGTCCATTTTGTCGACGCTTTCGGTCCCGGTTAGTCGACGCCGGTGCGTGCCGGTATAATTCCTATTTGCTACGAGTTCGCGCAAATCCAGTGGCTGTCTTTCGGCGGCGTTGTGGTACCCCATACTCAGGTAGTGTGAGGACACCGTGTGGCCGGACACCAGGTGTGAGAGAACAGGCACACCGGGTGGCGAGAAGGCGCGCGAGAATTAGGAATACCGGAGCAGCGTGTGCGAGAGCACGTCGCGTGGAAAGCTGCGAATAAGAGTCTAGGAATCTGCGATGGATAACAAGATGGCGGATGTGAAGCCCATCCCGGTGGCACAGGACGCCCTGTCCGTGGCTCAGCTCGAGCTCGGCGGAAATCCAAACGCCTTGGCGCTACGTAGGCCATTCGATCCAGTGGCGCATGATCTCGAGTCAGCCTTCAGGCTAACACGTTTTGCCGATCTGAAAGGATGAGGGTGTAAGGTCCCTCAGGAGGTTCTTGGGAAACTCCTTGAGGGACTTCAGGCTGACGAAGGGATTCCACAGGATCATGAGCATGCCCACTTTATGCACATGGCGATACCGCGCATTGGTGAGTGAAGTATGCGACATTTGCGCGAGCCGTTTGTTGAGCGCGCGCGCGCACGCCTATATAGGAGAAAGAGAGAGAGGGAGAGAGAGTCGACAGCTTTGACGCCGCGTATCCTTCCTTCGTAAATTTCGGCTTCTATCTCTGTCGGCCGGTCTCGTTTTCGCGAAAAACGACCATCTCTCGCGATGTATCGACATCATTTCTGGACCTCAACATTGTCGAAACAACAACGCTCGGCGTTTGCACGTGATTCGTTGCCCTGTGATCTCGTGAATCGCCACGTTGAACGCGAAACAATTGCGACGACTCGAATTGCTTTTTTTCCTCCCGCTTCGCACGGGGCCCGAACATGTCGCAAAACAGCCCTGCCGTCATGGCGACCGTGTCGTCTCCCGCCTAATTTCTCCCACGCTTCCTCAAATGCAGGTGTTCTCAATCTGGAAGTGTTGATTGTCGAAATAATGGCTCAAACTCAACGAAAGGAATTAAAAATAAGACAGAATTAAGTATAGCTTATTTATTATTTATTATAAGGTATAATATATATATTTCTACTATCTTATTTCTAATTTCCTATATTTAATTTCTTTGTGCTTGAACTGTAATCCTTTGAAAATTCCGAACAATACATCTGAAATTCGATATTTAGTATATTTAATGAGAAACACACGATGATACTTCACGCGGGAATTTATGGATTTGTATGTGAAATGGATACTTCAAATATTTCTTTTTCTCATTGGTATCATAAAATTCATTAGTTCGTTATATTTATAATTATGTTTTCCATTTAAGTTATTATATAACAGTTATCTGGTTATTATTTTATTTTACAATAAATCAAGGAGAAACTTCGATGTTACAGGCATTGGAATGGATTCCTCCGTGACACCGCTGAGACATGGTGGGCTGAGCCTTGTCCAAACAACTGATTTCTTTTATCCGCTTGTTGACGACCCCTACATGATGGGTAAGAAAGATAATGGGTGAAAAGTCTGAAGTGTGCGTGTGAGATGTCATGATAGCGGAACGGGCGAGCGAGCTAATTTGGATCTGTAATGTATCGGAAGAATGCTACTTCTTTTCATTGCCATCCGAGGATCTTTTCAGGTAAAATCGCGTGTGCTAACGTTATCAGTGATCTGTATGCGATGGGTGTCACGGACTGCGACAACATGTTGATGTTGCTTGGCGTCAGTACTAAGATGACAGAGAAGGAGCGCGACGTCGTTGTGGCATTGCTGATGAGGGGCTTTAAGGATTCAGCGCTGGAAGCTGGTACCACGGTAACGGGCGGCCAAACAGTTGTCAATCCGTGGTGCACTATAGGAGGAGTTGCTACTACAGTTTGTCAACCCAATGAATACATTGTGTACGTATTAGGTTCACGTAAAGGTTTTCAATTTGTCATATCATCGATTTACTCATTATCTTTGTCAGGGTAATTTGCCCATTCGTTGATTTAAAAACAAAATATCGCTGATACTTATGTTGTTGTTCGACTCGATTACAACAATTGGAAGGTTACAATCGGCCTTCATCACTCGTCCTTTTCTGTTTAGTCCCGATAATGCCGTCGTAGGCGATGTATTGGTCTTGACGAAACCGCTTGGCACGCAAGTCGCCGTTAACGCGCACCAATGGCTCGACCAGCCAGATCGTTGGAATCGAATAAAGCTCGTGGTCAGCGAGGACGATGTACGGAAAGCTTACCAACGTGCGATGGACAGTATGGCCAGGTTGAACAGGACAGGTACGCGACGTTTCAGCGCAAGAGCTACCCTGTAATTGTACGTGACCGAAAAGAAAAGGAAGGAAACGCGCAGCCACGCGGATATGTCTTCTTTTCAGCTGCCAGACTGATGCACAAGTATAACGCGCACGGCGCCACAGACGTCACCGGTTTTGGCCTCCTCGGACATGCCCAGAATTTAGCCAAGCATCAGAAGAACGAAGTCTCCTTCGTTATCCATAATCTACCAGTTATCGCGAAGATGGCAGCTGTGGCGAAGGCCTGTGGTAACATGTTTCAACTATTGCAGGGCCACTCGGCCGAGACTAGCGGCGGTTTGCTTATCTGTCTTCCTCGGGAACAGGTTAGTAAGCGGCTCATCGAATCGTGCTTCTATCGTTGAACGATCAATCGGCTCTCCCCTGCTGATACAGTAGAGCGTCTTGCATTCCTACTGAGGTGCTCTAAAGAACGGCAGGTAGAGAAACGGAGGTTACAACGAAGCTGACTATCGAAAGCGCGATATCTAGCTGAAATTAACCTCACACAATTATGTAACTCGAAAGATATTCGCAAGCACATTGAACTTTTTTGGAACAATGTCGAGTCTTTCAGCCGATATTTCGATATGGATGAGAGTAACAATTTCCCGATCGAAGTATCCTGAAATATTTTTATTAATTTCTACCTTGGAAGTACTTTTCATCCACTGTGTTTTGATTCGGTCAATTTCACTGAACGTCTTGTGTTACACAGGCTGCAGCATATTGTAAAGACATCGAGAAACAGGAAGGATATCAGGCATGGATTATCGGCATCGTGGAGAAGGGTAATCGCACAGCAAGAATAATCGATAAGCCGCGAGTGATCGAGGTGCCGGCTAAAGAGAAGGATGGCGAGCTCTGGTAAACTGGAGTCGAGAATACCGCATTGTCTCGCCTTTTTAATTGTACGATTTATACACTCGAAATAGCACTTACACACGCGTTCTCAATGCGCTTTTACGTGCACCATGTACAATGGATTTAATTCAGACGCCCGCGGCATCTTCAATCTATCTCTCGTCGTATTTTAGGTACATGGATTTATAACTTCTCACTTTTCTCCTTTGCTGATATAATTGATTGATTAGTGGCTGATGGTGGATCGTAATATATGTGCCGGGCTGCATTCCTATATTTGCTGCCAGTACTGGAAATCTAAAGTTTACACTGAATATACTGTACATTTTCAATCATTGGCGATGAATATTGTAACGCAGACCTGTTATTAGTATCACTTGAAGTGGCGATAATCTTTTGAATGCTGAGAAAAGAAAAAATAGTGCTACTTTTCCTTTTTATGTTATATATATTAGCAATATACTTAGAGTTAAATGTAAGTTTTTGAAGGGAGATCTCTCGTTGTTCGAAATATTCGAAACCGAAGGCATGCATGTTCAACACAAGTTCGGTAGGAAGAGGTCGAGTTTTAAATGCTTGCGAGAATCAACACTCGTAAAACAAAATAGATTCTTTGAACTACGCTTCAAAAAAAATGTGTCATTTCAAAATGATAATATATCGAGTGGCGACTTCAGAAGTATGTCTGAAGTATATCGGATTAACGACGGACACAGAGTTATAAGATATATTTTACAAGTTGCAAGACTTAACAGGACTCGAGTAGATTGTATAATTTTATGTAGTAAACTGTGAATAATTCTCAAATCTGAAGGAACACGTGCGTATGGATGATTTTCGGAAATATTACGAGTAGCAATGCCCATATTTCAATAAAGCGCAATCTAAAATCTAAGTAGGAAGACACACACACACACACACACGGTGTCGAAAGGCCTTCTAGTTATCTCGATACATACGCTTCGAATGATTCTGAAAAGAAAAAGTTTAAGCACAGGTCCTAACGTTGTATTACTTTTTCATATGAATAAAGTGCTACTTTGTCAATAAAACTAATCCCATGCAAGTGTACACACGTTCTTTACAGGAACAGCGTTTTGCAATTAACGCCCGATTCCACTATGATAATTTAAAATCCAATCGAAAATTAACTCGACGAAATTGACCAATCGTGTTGATCAATTTCGCTAATTGGCCAATGCAATTGGTCGATTTGGTTTAAATCATGATAGGGGAACTGGATGCAAGTCGCGTTTCTAGACAATAACTATTATAAAGCTAACTGTGGCAGTTGATTAAGGTATGATTCATTATCTAATTCTTTTCACTTTTGTGATAAAGATAACAGTGATCTTTCTGAAAGCGCAACAACACTTTATTACTCAGAATAAAGAGATGTTTTCAATTTTAATATTTATATATTTTGTTGGTTTGTCTCTTGCTTTTGTATCAAAATCAAGAATACTATGAACTAACTTAATTTGAACTAATTTGAACTGTAGTTCTTACTTCAAGTGCAAGAAGTCCCGTAAGGTGCAACTCAAAAGAGCGAATGTAACTTGATTTTTTGCACAATTTTACGTTCTCAAATAACATTAAGATATAAATACGTCTTTTAGACAATAAGATGTCTAAAGGATATCTTTTAGACGTACTTGTGAGTTGGAACTCAACTTTGTACATATATATATATATTTTTTTTTGACAATGCATATGTCATTAAATAGCGATTTAGGGTTAGGATATGGATCAAAAGTTAGAGTAGGTTAGGTCGTTCGGAGGATTAGATGAGGTTAGATTAGCTGTCGCGCGCGTACGCGCTGAAGTCGAAGTTTTCATTTAGACGCTCGCTACAAGACGAGCGCTACACAAACACGCCCACATAAGTGCTGTAACGAGCTTATCATGTGTGTATTTTGCACACGCAGCGCAGTCGCGCGTATTCGCGCTCGCACAAAACGACATCCATAACCTGCCCGTGTGATAATAATAATAACGACAAGGTATCGACACTTCGGCGACGCTTTATCGCCCTCTTGCGAAATGGGAGCTTATCAAGATATCATCATGCTCATTCGACACGACTGACTTATCGAACAAGTAACGATAGCATGTCTATCTACCTTGTCAATTTCCCCATAAAGTTCACTGTTATTCTAGCGAATCGAGCGCTGTTTGTCATTATATATATATATATATATATGTATATATATGTTCTCTACGAATCTAGATACATCGATAACTGTGCTCCTCGATAAGAATGCAGACGCATCGTTAAAATGACTCTGTTAATTACACTGTGATTACGCTGGAATTTCGGGGAGATCGCATTCGATCGTGTAGCCGTCGTGGGTAAAGTATCAACCTCTCCGTATAAGTGCATCCTCGTTTCTTGCCGCTATAAAAATAAGTTCTGCATTATACCGCGTTAAAAAAGTTCGGTTCAAGATATTTTTTATATTCTGTATGTTCAAACACGTTCCAATTATTGACACATATGTCTGATAACAAATTGTTTCTACGTCATCCTGCATTCTCTTTGGATTAATCATACCTTCTTCATTAGAGAGAGAGAAATCGTCGCCAGACACATACATACACACATGCTGCGCAAACAGAAAGATGAAGCTGACTCGTTAATCGTTGAAAGATGGCACAGGACTTGAATACACTCTGCCACAGGAAATCGACGCGTTGCATGAAGGTCCCGCTGAAGTCGACCGAGCAGATATACCTGATCTTCCTAGTACCAGCAGTGATCAGCTGCTTCGTATACATAGTGCACTTCTCCGCCGACCTGGTGGTAGCTATTCAACACTTCAAGGAGAACAATCCATTATGGGGATCCTGCACTCTCATAATCATGTACGCACCGGCGCTCGTGTATTTTATACTGACGATATCAAGGCCAGACTGGTGGATGACAGATGACGATAAAGTGTCCAAAGGCGTTCTCGGCTGGTTCGCCCTCCAAATGTGCCACTTCGTAGGATTTGTGTTTTTCGCGTTGTACAGGTATCAGCCTACATAAATAGGTTTACACAGGCACGGTAACGAGTATCCGTGGATGAATAATCTCATGCTCTCATCTAGATACGCAGGACTGATCGTATTATCTGTGGACGCCATCAAGTTAACCGGCGATGCAAGGATGAAAACACTGAACCTAGCCGCGGCACCTGCGGCCATTGAACTGTACTTCTTCCTGCAGGCATGGTTCCAAGCTGCTCCCCAGGCTGTCCTCCAGACCTACCTGCTCTTCAAGCAGAACCCTATGCACCGCAGCTATCAGTCGGGTGAGTGAATCAATTTTCTCCTGTAATAAATATCCCCTTGATCTCACACAGTAAATTCCAGAGTAAATTCTCAGTAAATCATCAACGATTAATTCTCTAAGAGTTATGTATTTTTCGTAGTAATGGTGCACGTAGTTTGCATCCTCATGTCTGTCGTAATACTGGCCATTCAGACAGCCTCCTTCCAAAGATTCGAAAGCCAACGTTTGAACGGCAGAAGGCTACCGTGGGCGATGTGGCTGAAAAAATACTGCGTCAAGGTACATTCAACTGTAGTCACAATAAAAATATAATACATAATAATAATATATAATTATTAATATTTTCATAATTATTAACTATTATTAATTATTAAAATATTAATATAATAATATATATGATTATTTCATTATTTCATTAATAACATACTTGGGATTGTTCAATAATACGTAATAATGTATGATTATTTTATCACGTACTTTTGCATAAATCATGCCTCAATCACCAGGAAATGGAGAGCATCGAAGAACGGGCGCCGTTGCAGGCGGCGTTACCTGCGAGGGATCAGGACAGAACAAATGCACCGTCCGAATCCACTCCACCGAAGGACGACGAGACGAAGCCGGAGGTGACAGTCCCCGGGAGCGTGCAGCAGCAGCCGTCCCCGGCGCAGACGGAGTCACACCGCGCTTTCTTGGACCGTCAGATCTCGGTGACGCCGCCGTTGCCGCCGAAGAACGCGCACGTCACCCCGCCGCCGACGCCGCTTCGCGGCATCACTACGGTCGCGCCACTACCGATACCGGACGCGCCCGCGCCTCCTCGACCCGACTCCGTCCACAGGGAGTCGCAGCACGAGGCGAACGCCGAGGCGAATCAGCAGCAGCAGCCGGCGATGGACAACCCGCCAAGTCTGAAGGTGCCCACACGCAAGTACTCCGAGAAAGGTCTCGAGGAGGACGACCCGGTGGGCAAGTTCCTGGCGTTCCTCTGGTGGTTCCTCTTCATCCTGGCGCGCGTGCTGGCCATCGTCGTGGCCTACGAGTTCTACCCGATTTCCGTGATCGCTACCTTGGCCGTGCACTACGCCGTGATGCTGATCTATCTTTTCTACTACGCCAAGTACTACGACGCGATCACGTTCTTCGTAAATCTCTGGCTCGGTCTGGTCTACGTGTTCAGCTTGATCGAGTACAGGGTGAAGTTCAAGTACGCTGACAAATGGACCCTGCCGTATTATGTGTTCGTAATCGTGCAGAACATAGCGCTGACCTTGACGTGGTTTATCCACGCCAACTGGGATGGGTTCTGGTACCCTTACACGGTCTTCGTGATCGTCGGCTGCACGGTGCTCTGCGTCTTGTCGACCGCAGTTTACCGGTCGTTGTATAAGCCAAAGAAATGCAGGGTGTACAGTAGCTGACGATCACTGGAGGCCTTGCCATTCGGATAAGCCTACCCCGGGCGACTCCCCCGAAACTTCCGCTTTTTACTTACCCGACTTTTCTTAAGAAAATGTCTAGACTGCTTTGTGTTCAAGACGATGTTTTGAGAGACTTTTGTCAGTATTCTGCGCGTAGACAGACAGACAGACACACACACATACACACACACACACACAATCGTACGTGAAACGTATATATATATATATATATGTTTATACGTAATATCGTTATAAATTACAATGTCAACTCTACTCTTACATACTACTTTTAGAATCAAACGATTCGATGTAGAAAATGACTCTTCTTCGTAGACTACTTCTAGGCAGCACGTTCCGCTCCTTAACTGTGTACTTTACTTATTCATAAGGAGATATATTTACAATATTACATATATTTGTATAAAAAAGAAGAGTGGCCCTATATGTAATGTATGCTCACGTAATAGGCGCCACTCTTTAAATGTTGTTAGAATATCTGTGAGAATATCGAAAACTTTTTCCCCTCTTTACGTCCAGCGACATCCGAACGTAAACCCTCGCTCACACAGGATACGAGATCCTTCTTTGAATAAAACGAAACTGCAGCCTAGTGTCGCTCAAGTAGCACCGCGAGTCTGTTGCGTCCGTTCGCACTAGTCTTGATTCGCTACGCATGTTTTATATATTGTGACGTGACAGAATTAATTACGAAGGTCCAACCGGGGAAGAATTCGCGCCACTCCGCCCACGACGGGAACGGCCGGAGTTCTTTCGCTTTTTTCTTGTTAGTAAAATTTCGGAGCTGAATTTTAACGTCGCAGGATGCTATGTTGATTGCGCGCGAATTCCTCGGGTTCCGCGGCTCGGATGAGTTTTTTTTTTTCGGTTGCAAGTCGATCGGAAAAACTTGCTGAGATGCCGCATTGCGGCCCAGAGTATCGAGGACGTTTTGGATACTGAAAAAGAGAACGAAATCTAGACAACGGCGAAGATTTTGCATTCTGAGGAGAGTGAAGGTCCTGCAAGGGCAGTGGGACAATCCGTGTCCAGCCACGGCTCCTTCGTTTGCGAGTCGCGTTGAGAGTGTCCGTAAATAATTTCGCGTCGGTGCTCTCAGGTTGTCTGTCGATTTCCGAGCGCGCCAAATGGCCAAACCGGAAACAACGACAGCCACGTAGTCATCGTGTCATTCGTGTCTGGTTCGTCACATTTCTTTCTATTTCTCTCTTTTTTTTTCTTTCAAGTTCATTCGTCTGTAGCGTCGGAGATAATTAGTATCGCGTTGAATATTTGCATTCGTTAACGCCTTTGCAGGTAACAAATGTTTCATCGCGGCCGATTATTCTTCGACCGCAAGGAGAATAATCAGCTGTGATCGATCAATTTCCTTTATGGAACTAACGGTTACAGAGAAATCGCGTGGTATCAACCAGATTTAACGGTAAAATACGGAACAACTAATCATGTGGTTGCTGCAACTGCAGCAGTACAATCAGTCGCGCGTAATCGTCGTTTCTGCTCGCGTCGGTTATCTTCGAAAATAGTCACCGTCGTGGTCGCTTCTATCGGTGCTCAAAGCGAGTCGGGAAGAATCGAATTTACGGACCTGTCGCGTCAAGAGACTCGGATTTGCAATTTTGTGGTCGCGTTGCGAAAATTCGGGCTCACGGGATCCTACTGTTCGCTCGTACGAGAAGAAGGAGATATCGGGGCGACAAATCATCACAGTATATTTCCGTCGCATCCAACGGCGTTAATTACCGCGTCTGCGAGTAGGTCAAGTTGCGTGCATGAACATTACAAAGAAACTTTGTCGATCGGCAACTCAAAGATTATTTTTTTCTTTCGTGTTCGTCGTCAGTTTCGCGAGCTTCCTCCCCGCTCGACTTTCGCATACCCGGCGTGTTACCGGAAGCATCGGACCGGCCGGCTTAAGGCTCCTGTCTCACTCGCCGCAACCCTATCGTACTCGTGACGTTATATGCGAAAAATGACACGTTGAGAATTCTTGCGTGCTATTTGCAAATAGATATTTGGGTAAAACAACACTTGAGATCGCTTGAAGACACTGTGAAAATGTCCGAAAACTATCCTTCCCCTACTGGCAGTCAACAAACAACCGTAGTAACATGTGAAACGAGGCCTGTTCATGCAGGAAAATACACGGTTTTTGCCGCTGTTACGGAAGGAGCGGAAAATAGAGATGGACGATGCAGAAAGAAATATCGACGTTTCATATCGTAAATAAAATTATCGATACACCATTAGGCTAATGCTATCTCACATTTTTGGCGATCGATATTTTATTTGCGACTTTGCGTATCGGTGCGAAATACCGGCATTTTTTTTTACTGTATCGCTCGTTCTTAATGGAAAATACAAGCTTTCATGTATAAAATTCTAAGCTAACCATAGTTTTCGGACATTTTCGCGGGTTTAGTAAATATGTCACAAGTCACTGCTGCACAATGAAGCACATAAGAACGAAATGGCAGGCGAGAAAAATTTCGTTATCAACACGCCGCTCTTCGCGCGTATGGATACGGTCCAGCAAGCGCTACAAATGCTTCGGAGCGTTTCTCCTTCTTTTTCTCTCTTCATCCGGATCCCAAAGATAGACGAAGGAGAATAAACAGTCCGAAGCATTTGTAACGCTTGCTGAACGTACTCTGTCAGTTCATCCTTTCGTTATTTTAAACTGTGTCACCACTGTCAACGCGGAGTTTTTGGCTGAGTAGTCAGAATCCTTAAGGTGCTGTGTTCCATGCACCTGGCGCGCCCTTCTTAGAGCATTATTCGACGTCACCGCCCTTAGGGTCCGTTTCACGACCTTCGGTTAACTTGCCCGACCAGTTAAGCGTCAATCGTGATTGGTTATTTCCGCTAGTCAATCTCGCTTAACGACAAATATAATTGATCGATTCCCCTGGAATAATCAGCCGATCAAGTTAACCGGAAGTTGTGAAACCGCTCCACAAAATCACTCGCGATTTTAGGTCCGCGTGCGGAAGAATTCGAGCCGGTCGGACTTGCGGTGCGCTCGCTAATCCCCCCGACGAAAACGAGTCGCAATATATTACATAAAAATTACAGATATATGTCGTATATATATACATTTTTGTATATATATATATTTATATATAAAACTTAAATATATATATATATATTACATCGCGCTCTTTATAAAAAAATCGCGCATTTCAGTACGGCTATTTGTACGGGACACTTTACGGTCCCCTTTCTCACACGTGAAGATTCGAATCTCTGCTAAGGTTGCCGAGCTGAGCCTCGAATAAAATGTCATTCACCAGCTTCTCGGCTATTATTCTCTGGTCTATCCGCATGTGCCTGAGCTTAGCGGCGACGTTCCGGCCGATCGCGTCGTACTCGTCCTCCCCTGCGCACGAATTGTGACTGGTGACACGCAACTGGTCGGTTTCCGGCTCGTCGACGGGACGTCGAGATCGAATGGAGAACGGCGTGTTGCTCCACTCGTGCTCGAACGACTCCTCCTTGGTCACGGAATCCTCCTGGAAAACGATCAAGCAGAAACGCGTGGTCGATCGAGTCGAGGTCGGGTTGACCGCCGACAGCGGGACTGCGAAGTACGCAGGAAGCACGACTCACATTCTTGTGGTATTTGTAGCGTTTTATCCGCGTGGTGTCGGAACACTTGTCGGACGACGACGAGTCGACGTAGACCATCGCGGGCTTCCTCTGATTGGACTTACACTTGATTCTGTCGATTAGTAACGGATGCACACGCTGTAAGAGGTACGACACTGTTAACGAACAAGGTACAAGTAAGGAAGACCACGCGTCCGGATGAACGATGCGCAACTGAGTACGCCACGGTATACCTTTATGTGGCTGAGGAAGTTCCCGGTGGACTTGAGGTTCCCGTTCAAGTGTCTCTGGCACTGGGAGCAACGGACAGTGACGTTACTGTCCTCCACTTTGGTCACTGTAAAATACTCTCCGTCCAGTATAGCGGGTAATCTAATAGGAGTGAGAGCCTGAGGGCTTTGCTGAGTGTTCGGTTGAACTTGCTGCGTTATCTGCTGCGTCTGCTCCATCTGCTGTTGCTGATCTTCCTCCTGAGTCTGCGCCTGTTCCACCGCCGGTGGCTGGCTGTTGGCAGGCTGGGAGACGTCGCGTTGCTGATTCGCCGCAGCTATCATACACGAGTCGAAGTTCGGCGTCGGATAGCTGTCCATAGTAACGCAATGCATGCGAACTCGCTCTTACTCCGACAAGGTAAGCGAGACGGAGCCAGGTTTCTCACGGCTCTCGGTTCCGCCCGACGGGACACCTGGGTGCAATCGAAACACGAATAAATGTTCCCTTCGTTGCACACGATAGCAACCAAACAAAATATTATTTATCTTGGATTCTTATTGAATTTTAGATAAGCCGCCAGATAAGAGCATCACGCAAGGCGAATCTAGATCAGATAATAGATGAGAACGTGTGCGTCACTGATTAACAGGTACACTCCCGTGGCTTACCAACTTCATCGATCAGAGCCGCGCTCCGCTGCACTGGTGCGTCGGATCAGTGGTGCAAGGTGCGAGGAACGACGTGCACGCTCGACATGCTTTTTTCGCTCATATACACCTGTAAAGCGCGCACACAATCGCGATGAATCTTTCTCCCTTTCTCTTTCCGTGATTCTCACGCGCGAAACGGTCGTTCCTGCAGCGGTGATATCGAGTAATTCGCGGAATTCCTCCCGCCACGAGAGAGCCACTTTACGCCTCGGGAACATAAGAAACAGAAAATACAATCACCTAGTGTCCCTCTTTCTCCCGTCCTCCCCTTCGTCACGCATAATCCGTGTGAACGATCGAGTAGTGCGAACCGGCCGTGAACAGATAAATCGTTGAAACGCTACACGTGCGTTTAGTCACGTTTTCGCTCGCATCTCTCGTGGTGAGAAACTCGAAAATCGCCGAGATAACAACGCACGACATTCACAACTTAACCTAACCCCTGATCATCTGACTAACCTAACTGAACACAATAATAAGAACAATAACCGTATATAGACAAAGTGCGCCGTAGTAGTGGTAGATCCATCCACTTCGGGCGCGTCGAGGAGACGCTATTTAGCGCTACCGCGTCATTCTGTCTTTATTACTCTTTACATGTACAATAAGGATAGAATGACATGGTAACGCTAAATAACATCTCTTCGAACGCACCCATGACATGTTAAAATCGTCTATATGTATTGTACATCTGGCCTAATGTAGAACCAGCTTAAGGCCCGTATCACACTACGGATTGAGATTGGATTGAAATTTGACCAATCAGAAAAAGTTCAATTTGAGTTTAGTGAACATTGTTCTGATTCGTCAAGTTTCAATCCAATCTTAATCCTAATCCATAGTGTGATACAAGTCTAAGACGTAAGATTATTCTTCCAATAAACGACCGTGATTGGTCAATTTGATTATTGTACGCTTAAGCCGAGTCTACAATGAGTAGATGTAGTAAGCCTTAAGTGTAAAAAATTAGCCAATCACAATCGAATGATAGAAGAACGATCGATTGTGATTGGTCAATTTCTTACGCTTAACGTTTACTACACCTATTGTAGACTCGGACTTAATCTTAAAGCAAGATTGCGGACAAGGATCTGTTCACCATTGCACATCCTCTTTGGCACATTCGCTGCGCATGCTCGAAAGAAGGTGCTCATCCAACGCGTTGGTAACGGTGCGGGTCGCCAGTGTTGCGGCTAAGCCGCTTCGTGTCGTTTCGGTGTCGCTGTGCTGTTCTTTGTGGTATCACCCACACATGTGTTTGTACCGTTTCGCTGTATTTTCGATGAAATCGCGAACGTCGCATACGACTCTGTGATGATTCCGCAGTGTTCCTTACATTTTTGACACCGTAGACAAGCCTTCGCTTCGCGCAACGCGTGTTTTCGTGTTGTATTATATTATATATTATATCTCCGACTTTCTCGCGTGTCGAGCCGTCGACATGTCCGCACTTCGCGCGCAAGTGAACGAGGAGGCTGAAGAGAAGCGCCACACAACAACCAGGTTCGTTCATCCTTCATTCGCGATTCTGTGGCGATTTTCCTCCTCCCCCTCCCCCTTCTCTCGTCCTTTTCACCTGGCCCCCCTTGATATGCCTGCGGAATGTATTTGGTACGGTGAAAGTAATTAATTTGATGTTGCTGTGCGTGAGATGCGAGCGAGTCCTTGTCGTGGATGTCGACGTGAGAATGTTCGTCCGGGAGAGGTTCGGCGCGAGAAGTAAGTTTGGAAAAGTCAAAACAATCGCTCAATAACGCGACAAGAGCGATTGATTGTAGAAGCGACGTTTGAGGTTAGGAATCTGCCTTACCGACCGCGCACGGCAGCTTGCGCTTGCGCCATGTGGGGGAGGGGGTCACGCACGAACGTTCAAACCACCGTTTCAGTTCAGAGAGCGATGATTTCAGGCGATTCATGAGAATTTGCTTTTTCAGCGAATCCACGAGCTCCGAGGCCGCGGTAACGCAGTCGGAGGCCTCCTCGAGGACGAACGAAGATGCGGACAGTAAATGTACGCAGAGTCGAAAACATAAGCTGTCCCCCGATCGAGAACGAGTGTCCAAGGTGGCCAGGCATGACACCGACAGAGACATATCCGCTGTGAGTTACGCAGTACGACGCAATATTCCGTGATTAACGCTCGGGGATCATCGTTAACGATCTTTCCTGTCGCAGAATTCAAGTGTTCCCTCGGACCTGACGACGTCCGGGAACAGCAGGAAGGACAGCGATGCTTCGGAACCAAATAAAATCATTGATAATACCTCCTTAGTGGCCGAGCATTACAATGCGTTGGAGGAAAAGGGTCTCCGGCATAGGAATCAAAGTCGAATTGTATATATGAGGAATTTTAACAATTGGATCAAGAGCATGCTCATAAGTAATTATCAGCTTCCCAAAATACACCTGTCAAATTCAGCGTTCATCCCAGATAGGACTTATCTCGGTGTATTCGGCCTGCATCATGCCTAACATAAATATGTTAACCCTTTGGCTGCCAGTGGGCCGATCTTTCGGCACGTATGCAAGAACTGCCACGGGCTGATGCATCGGCTTCGTGTGTTTACATTCAGGTTATCCCTCCTCTGAGTATCAAGTTGCTTCCGCTCATGCTTAGTTATTATCTCTAATGCCTAGTATCATATTTCTTTTTGGTCTAAAAGTTCATCGGTCGTTTTTTTCTTAAGTCCTTCGTGTGCGGTCGCTTAGTAAAAGTCAAAGCATTCTACCGACTTTCCGCCAGAAAATCGACATTTTCTTCTTTATAAAACAATTTATAGAAGGTGCATGTTAATTCGATCCCGGCAGTCTTCGTATATACCGCGTTGATGGGCCTGGCAGTAAGAGAGTTAAAATGTGTTCTCATGCAACAAAAAAGTCCTCTAGTATTTTGCAAACAACGCGCAAAATTTTAAGTTATTATTGAAAATAGTATAGAGACTTATTTTGTTAACACATTGCGTACGGCACTCTATTCGCTCAACACGCTTCCAGGGCATTCATTTATTCGCTAACCATTTGTTTCGAGGAGCGCGAGACTTCGTTACCCTGGTAACGTAATAAGAAAATCTATTTTTAATTCCTTAAGTCATCGATTAAGTCGTAGAAACCTGAAAACAAGATATCTCGTCGCCCGGCCACAACGTTCGGCTTGCTAAAGACGAGATATCTCGTCACCCGTACGCAATGTGTTAATAACTGAAAAATTTCTGTCGACAAATAGTGTCGACCGGGTAGAAGATTCTCTAATTAATAAGTCTCAAATTTGTGTTATTTGCAAAATGGCACAGGACTTTTCCGTTCCCTTCGATCCGTTTTATGCCCTCACGAAGCTTATCCCTGTTAATCCAAGATATCCTAAAAAAGGCACCTGATGCTGTGGAAATTGCGGCAATATTGCGATGATATTTCGATGCCATAAGTTACTGTTTATTCTGCCCGAAGGAGAGCGCAATTAATCCGGAATTATTGTAGCAATAAGAAGTCGATATTTTGATTAAAATTATGGCGTAATAAATGAGTATTTCTTAAAGCAAGCGTTATTTTCAACACGTGCCGGCATCACAAAAGTGTACGTTAAATATTTGCACACTAAATTCGGCGTTTCTGTCTATCTGGGATCGTTCCTGCGTGCGAGCGTGCGTGCGTTTCAATTTATCTTATTTGCCCCGTACACGCAGATGAGTATATAAGCAAAGTGAGGCAGAATAAGAACCATGGCGCCTCCTTGAGGGTGTTGGACATGTGCTGCGGGAAGGGTGGCGATCTGTTCAAGTGGAAGAAGACCAACATCACACACCTGATCTGCGCGGATATAGCGGAGGTGTCCCTGGAGCAGTGTCAGCAGCGGTACAACGACATGAGCAGCAGGAGTCCCAACGACCGAGGTTTCGCTCCTATTTATACCGCGGAGTTCATTACAGCGGATTGTACAAAGGTAGAAGACCATGCCGTGTGCGCCCGACTTACCTCGGTCGGGCCTCGGTTGTGATTTTGTTCAGCGGGGAGACGTTCTCGCCAACGGGGTTTTATTAAACGACAGTATTTCAGGTTCGTTTGAGGGAGAAGTATAAGGATCCCAGCATGCAGCTGGACTTTGTCAGCTGCCAGTTCGCGTTCCACTACAGCTTCGAGTCGCTGTCGCAGGCGGAGTGCATGCTGAGAAACGCCAGCGAGACTCTGAGGCCGGGCGGCTACTTCGTCGGCACCATTCCGGACGCGTACGACTTAGTGTACGTTCGACTTTTCGCGAGATCTCATTGTTATATACGCGCGGATGCACACACACACACACGCACATACATGTTCTTTTTCGGCGACAGTTCCAGGTGGCAACAATGCGATGGCAACAAATTCGGCAACGACGTGTACAGCATCGAATTCTTGTGCGACAAAGAACGACCGCCGCTTTTCGGCGCGAAGTATAATTTCCACTTGGAGGGAGTGGTCGACTGCCCGGAGTTCCTCGTGCATCTGCCCACCCTGCGTAAATTGGCCCTGAAGAACGGTCTCGAGCTGGTATCGTTCGAGAGGTAAGAGAAGACGGAGAATAATTACTGCAAAATGGAAGATCATACAGTGAAAAGTCGTTGAGGAAAAAGTTGCAAACTTCTTCCGTTCCAGTCCAATTATAATCGCGAGGAATGTCTTGTTGCGTTCAGTTTCTCCTTCATAGTTTTCAATTTCACGAATTCCTCTCGTGTATACGTGCGAAATTGGTCTGTTTCAAGGTTCGACACGTTTTACGAACGTTTCAAGGACGAAGGCAGGTCCTTGCTGGGCAACATGCAAGCGTTAGAGACTTACCCACCGTTCCACGAGGTGCCGTTGCTCGGCAATCCGGAGCAGGACTATCAGCACGCCGTTCAGTACATGCAGAACCTGCCGGATCATCGCAAAATCGGCACGCTCTCGCAGTCGGAATGGGATGCCACTTGTGAGTATGGCGAGCACCAATGTGAACTCCGAACGGAGTTGAATCTCCGCAAGACAACGCAACGATGATATCTCTTTGCAGCGTTATACGCGGTCTTCGCGTTCCGAAAGATGAAGACGGTCTGGAACAGCGAAGGGAAGCCGGAGTACGTGGCGTGAAAAGTCTGTGCTACACATCGGTGTGGAGCTGGCGCTCAACTTGATAAAAATTAATCAACTTTATAAAAATGCTTTATAGTTCGATTCTACTTCACTTTGTACTCGTTTATATACCACTTATGCTTTCGTTTGTACCTCAAAGAGTTAGAAGATAAAGAGGATTGAAAAAATGGCCAGCGCCCAACAAGTTTTTTTTTTTATTTTCATTATACCGTTCGAAAGAATATCGCTTGTACTCGTTTGTACCTCAAAGGGTTGGGAGATACAGCATTTTTCAGTTTTGACATTCCCACTATGGAGAACTTGGATATTTTTAGAGATATCGAAAAGCGGCCAACGGCATTCGAAAGAATATCGTTTGTATCCGTTTATACCTCAAAAGATTAGAAAAACAGAGGATTGAAAAATGGCCATCTTTTATCTTCTGTCTTTGAATTACAAACGAAAACAAGTGGTACAAACAGGTAAAAATGAAGGAGAATCGAACTACATAAAGCATTTTTAGTTTTTATAAAGTTGGACGCCAACTTCACATCGGTGTGCCACACTTATCGGGGCAATCATGGTGAACACAAAATTGATCAAGAGTATAGTATCAATTGAGATCACGAAGAAAAAAAAAAAAACGTTCAATCTGACATACACTGTCGATCGGTGCTGTTTTCAGCATTTTAACTTCTGTTCCTAATTATGTGATGGACATTTAAGGAAAGAAATCTCCGTTTTGCTACAGTAACTGCCGTAGAACAATGATACGAGGTGCTGTAGGTGAGCGCAGGTGTTGAAATGAATGAAAGTGAGTGACTTGATCTAGATTTAATTTAATCAAAACTGAATTTTTATATAAACTGATCTGATATATATTTAGAGTGTGACATGTGTGTTACCAGCGAGTTTCGGCTAGCGAAACGTATTCTCTTGATAGGACAACGATGTGTCGATATTCTTGAAAAAAGTCCTATTTTCCATATCTTTGAGCTGTGAGGAAGTACGTGACTGTTGGCATGTTGGAAATGCTGATAATCAGAATAATCAAGACGTGTCTGATTCTGACATAACAGTCCCAATGTCGTTAAACAATATTCGATTGTTATAATTTTCAAAGCGTTGGACGCAGAAAAAATGTATCTTCGTTCCTCTTATATTTAAAATACAGGCGAATGATTCTCATCGCGAAATTACTTCTCTGCGAAATACAACGTGCAGGAATTATTGTGTTTCCATAGGACGTTATTTTTCTGATGAAAATACACATAGGAGTGCAATGTTTCATTAAATTGATATAAACATAATAATAATGGTGTGGTTTACATGATAGATCAAATATATGGTACATTTTTTCTGTCGCGTGTACAATCACCTGGAAAAATTCGGAAGGTTCAGCAAGCGAAACCGTCCTACAATCGCTGGTAGAATTTAATTATGTAAATTTATTTGTGTGAATATAGAAACACTTTTTATAATGTTACATCGTGTTATATCGCAGAATCAGACAGAGTATGATCATCAGGCATTTCCAGCACACCGATAATCGCATACTTCAACGCAGCTCGAAGACATGGAAAAAACCGGACTTTTTCGGAGATATCGATACATTGTTCTACTAATTAATAGATCGTTGATAGATCATTGCAACCAAACGGTGATTCCTCTCCTCAATTGTATCTCCATTGGAACAATAGGAATAGATCTGTTTCTTCTACCGAATATTCTGTAATCGAAGTTTCCTAAGTGATGATGCAAACAGCAGGAAAAATGTACCTTATACTCGATCCGTTATGTAAATCACACCATTATATTTATACACATATAGTACAATTACACACACACATACGCATAACACACACACACACACACACACACACACACACCTTCCACATGTACTTTTATTTGAAACATCTCATGCAAACGCGACAATTCTCGTAGATTGCACTTCGCAGAGAGGCAATTTTGCGATGAGAGAATCATTCGCCTGTATTTTCAATGTAACAGGAATAAAGATACATTTTTTCGCGCCGATGCTATGAAAATTATATAATAATCGGACGTGCGATACAATCGACTTAACGTGGATATCGATCATGTAATTTTTCCCTAGGATGGAAACATGAAGAATCGTGAAAGATCCAAATGTTTTCAAGTTAGAAAATTTGGCAACTTTCACGAATTCACGCCAAAGGAGATCCATTCCAAGATCGACCTCCGAGGGATCATGAATCCTCTCCTCCGGCGTGGGAAGTGTAAATTTTTTAATTTGAAAATATTTTCACATTTCCCTAGGAAAAAATTGTATGATCGAGATTCCGAAATTAGATCGACCGGGGACAACGTCACATCGCGTCACATCGCAGGGACGAAGAGCGCATCTTGAGTAAAAGCGACACGCGGGGAGGGCAATTTCCAAATTATCGCGTCCCCACGTTCCCTCTGAGAGGCCGCACCGCGACCAAGGGCAACGTGCATATTTTCATTTACCGACTGCATCGGCCGTTTACTCGAAACCTTCCGGCGATGAGGACGACATTCGCGATAAAAATTCCCCGTCACGTCGAAGTTCCATTTTCCTGATGCACTCGCGAGACATCGCATCCTGCTGTTGCCTGCTTCCGCCGATCTGGAGAGAGAAGAAAGAAGAAGCAAGATTCACTCGCTCGAGGGATGGACTGGTGGTTCAGTCAGGGTCTGAAATCGATGCAATCCTCCGTCATATACGATGGCATTTGCATTTCGCCATAGAGACGTTCGCGATGACGGTCGGCAGTCTTTACGCGCGCATGCGGTGCATAACAGTGAGACATCATAAGACGTCGTAAAGACGTCTTTAAAGGCATACATGTGTTCAGATATGTACATTCGCCGCCGAATATGCCAAATATATTTTCCTCAAGTGCGAATTCGTGCAGAATAGACACTTTGCCAAGGAGCCGGTGTAAATATTGAAAGTTTCCAAGTAATTTTCAAATACAAATCAAGTTAGGAAAGTTGGGGGTGACTTTCGTCTAACTCTGATTGAGCTAATCGACAATTGAAAATTACTGTCAATGTCAAGCGTCATCTGCTCTATTTTGCCAAAGCAGATAGAAATTCTGAGCTTTTTGATTATTGCCGAGCGGCAAGTTACAGAACTGGAAATTGACGTTGACAATTCTTATCATTATTTATCGATTAGCATAATCAGAGTGTGATGAGTAATCTTTAGTTCAGATCTATAATAGATATAGTAAGTCTCTAATGTTTCATTCTAAAAACTAAATTGTAACATAATTTGTAGCAAAAGGCATTCCCTACTTTAGTATCAGATGTCCCAATTGTCGTAATTCCCAAGTTTCAAGCGTTACCGCAACTTTTGACAGCGTGGGAAACGCCTTTTGTCAGAAATTACGTTATATACAGGTTGATGCAAAAGTTCGATCCATTTTTTCATCTAAATATACATATAACATTTATAAATTTTGAAATATAAGCAATCAATTTTTAATATGCGCCATTTTGTTTGGCAAACCTACCATTCCTCTGGCAATCGCATGATCCTGTATACCTGTACAAAATTTTGGGATGTTTGAGCGAATTGATAAAAAACAGGACAAATATTTGTATCAATCTAATATTTTACTGTTTAGAACAAAAACTAAAGATTTACTGAACCTATTGTAGATCCGAATTTAGAGTCTATTTGCGTAATTACATGATGCGTACGTATAAAAAAATTAACTGATCATATATAAAAGATATCCTTCTGCACGGATTATGATATTCCAAGAAAAATCTTTATATATAATCGTACAAAATTACATATAATTATATATAATTATGTATGCGATTTATATATGAGAATTTTGTCTATATGGCTGCATAGATAATTATATGTAATTATATTATATGTAATTATATATGCCCACACGAAATAAAAATACTGTTGAATGAAAAACGGAAAAAATAGTTTGATTCTGCTAAGTGTTTACGTCGTAGGCAGCCATAAACATAGGCATTTATTTCAGTTATATTCGTATAACAGTATTTTTTTAGATGTAGACATTTATATTCGGTAAGCAAAAAACATTCAAAATTAATCTTTTGAAACATTGATCTCATAAATATTTATGAAAAGTGAATTTTATAAATATTTTGATATAATATTTTATAAATGTGTTTAAATTGTTACTTGACAATATAATATTCCTAAATATTAAGGTTGTAGCGTAGAAATATTTTTAATGTTTGGGTCAAGTATTGTTAACAATAACGTTGTATACAACATTAACAACGACATATTTGAAAACGTTATGTGTTATAAAATATTGTGATAACGTTACGTTAGTGATTTCTTGCTTACTGGGCAGGATGTCCCTGATTAACATGGACAAATTTAATGAGGGCGTATAACGGATTAAGGTGAACAAAAAAGTCCTCTACCATTTTACAAACACGTAAAATTTCGTGTTATTAATTATTTAAAATAGCCATGTACAGAAGCTTTTAATTAATAACTCAAAAATATACGTGTTATTTGCAAAATAGTACTTTTTTGTTCAAAGTGACCTAATCTACAAGTATATAACAGCTATTGTAGCCAGTAACAGGTTCGAGGTTTGAGGTTATGATTCAATATACTGGTGTCTGTCGCTAAGTACAATAACTGCTGTATACTTGTAGATTAGGCTTCTCTGAACAAAAAGTTCATTACCATTTTGCAAATAACACGCAAATTATTAATACGAGAATTTACCCAGTCGACATTGAGTATCATTTATACGTTATAATTTTGCAGTCAACAATTTAAATGCATTATATAATACTATATGTTATATAGCGCTATATATATATATATATATAGCGCTATATATATATAGCGCTATATAACATATAGTAT